TTTTCCATGCCCCCCAACCCAGCCACCCACCCCCCCAGGGCCATTCCCTCTCCCCGTGTCCCACCTCGGGGTTTATCCCTCCCGTGTCCCACCTCGGGATGCTCCGTGTGTGTGTCCCCCAGCCCCGGGGGCTCTCGTGTCATGAGGAGGGGGGTTTTTTGTGCTCGGGGAGGCCACGGTGGCTGCATGAGATTTATTTTTTTTTAATTTTATTTTAGTTCCTAGGTATATGCAATAATAAATAACTCGCCACTTCAGCTGTTCGTTACCAGCAGTAGTTCTCTAGGCTCTTTTCTGTTGATGTTTACTAATGGAAAACCCAGTATTTGTTACTGTACGAGGATTCTTTTTTTTTTTTTCCTGTTTTGTTTTGGTTTTTTTTTTGTACGGTACTTTAAAAAAAAAAATCAAAAACACGAACCCACAAAAAAATAAAAATACAAACCCAACCAAAAATAAAAAAAATTTAAAAAATAAAATTTAAAAAAAAAAAAGAAATAAAACAGAATTAAAGAAACGGCTGCGGGGGATTTCTGCGGGAGGGGTGTTTTCACGCTGGGGGAGCAGAGGAGGGAGGGCGTCGGGGCTGGGTGCGGGATGTGACCCATGGGACTCTGCTCCCGGGGGGGTCACAGGGCTGGGGGGCCACCCCCCAGCTCAGCTGGGCAAGCAGGAGGTGGCAACTGAGCCCCCAAGGGGCAAGAAACAGCCGGAAACGGCGTCTATAAACAGCGGGGAAGTACAAAGTTCCTCCCAACGGCCCAAAAAATGAGCCCGAGGGGGGTATTTCGGGCAGCACCCCCAACCTGGGGGGTGCTTTGGCGAGGGGGGGTTGGCAGACCCTGGTGGGGGTCCCATATAGAGCCACCCCCCCCCCCTTTTCTTGTTTGGGAGACGCCGAGCGGGGGCTGCTCAGGGTTGGGTTTCTGTCGCCGACGTGTCGCAACCTGCAGGGAAAAGGCAGGTGGGGCCAAGGCCACCGTGACCCCCCCTTCCTCCCCACCAGAGCCCCAATTTTTGGGGGTCAAGGTCCCCCACCCGGGGTGGCCGGCGCCGGACGTCCCGGCGTGAGTCAGCAGCGTCGGCGTCACATGAGGAGGACGGTGGAGCCGGGAGGAAGGGCACGCGGAGGCGGGCGCTGCCAAGCCTTTAAAAAGTCCTCGCGGGGACGGGCTGCACCTCCACGCCATCCCCACCATGGCCCCCACGGCCCCCACGCTGCCGCTGGCCCTGCTGCTGGCCCTGCTGGCCCCACGCCTCGGGCTGGCTTCCCCCGGCTGTGACTACCCGGCCCACCTCTGGTGCAGCTCGCGGGAGATCGCCGTCGCTTGCCAGGTCAGAGCCGCCGGTAGCCACCCGCCCCGCCACGGTAGCCCACGCGGGGCCACAACCCGCCGAAAGGGCTGGGTGCCCACCCGGTGAGCGGGGCTTTGGGGGTGGCGGGGACGGTGTCAGGGCATCGCCCGCCCGCGG